GTTTTACCGCTCGCGAAACGAGCTTTCGATCGAACCTGTGCAACCTTTGTTCCGACAACACGTAAAAGGCAATTCCAATTAGTTTGCTGTACGTTTATCGCGTTACGGGTCGAGTCGTGGCCGCTTCCGTTTATTTCGGAGCAAAAGGACGGTGGCTTTTAAACGCTAACTTCCAACTACTGATCGGCGTTACCAGTTACCGGTAATCGTGGTACGATTTCGATCGAGTAAGCGAACGATCGACGTCGGAATGGTTTCGCGACGATAGGCGCGCGAAACGGTACGAGTTTTCTCGCGCGAGAAGGAAATCGTCGGAACTATTCGGTGACGCGTCGACGTCGCGCAAAGCCGATTCCGGGATCCGGATATAAGCGGGAAACGTGACAAGTTCGCTTCGACCTTTTATGGGTCGAACTTACCTTGATGTCCAAATGGGCGATATTTCTCTCGTGGAGGTAGGCAAGTCCTTCTACTAGCTGCCTCACAAAGTGCACCACGTCACCTTCGAGGGGCACCAAATCACCGTCGATCAGCGTCTGTAGATCGCCTCCAGGTGCGCTGAAAAGTCGAAAGTTCGAATGGTTCGGTTCGTTGGCCTCGCCGTGGCTTCGTTTCTCGGCATTCGATGCGCGACCGTACTTACTATTCCATCACCAGAATAATTTCCTTGGGCGTCTCGTACACGTCGTGCAATCGAACGACCCGCGGCGATTGCGAGCACAGAGACAACAGAGCGATCTCGTGTCTCAATTCGGCGCTGCAGTCCGCGTTGAATCTGCTCCGCGAGGAGAACTTTGCCGCGTACAGGATGCCGGTCGATCGAGATCGGCACCGATACACTTTCGCCCATTGTCCGCTGTGGAAACGTTTCGAATTAATCGGTCCTTTTCCGCTTGACGCGTCGGACAAACACGGAGGAAGGAAGAAAGCGTTAATGGAAGAAGACGGCTGCGCGAAATTCGGTTGGCTGACACGGCAGGATTTTTACAGCCGTCGCGTGTTGGAGGATTCCGAGCGTCTCTTCGGCAAGGTCGACGCCGCGGCGCCTCGCAAGGCTGCGCCGGCAACGCAGTCGTCGCGCGTAATCGACGCGACGCTGCCGAAGCGATCTCGCTTTTACGCGTGTTTGCCTCCGGTATCGTACGGCAGAGTTTATTGCGCAAACGACCCACGCGAGCGTTCGTCGTGGACGGCTCTCCCGCTGATCGCGTTCTCGAAAGATCGAAACGCGACGCGCGTAGCGTCTCTTCGAGGAGGACATCGCAAAGTTCCTTCGAGCAATTCGGAAACGACCGCGGAGCGTTGTAAATTTCCGAGAGGAAAGTAGACGCCCTTGCGCGCGAGAATCGTCGAATCCTCTCGTCCCCCTCCCGATGCAATTTCACCGAATCGCGTCCTTTAATCGAGCCAGATAAACGGAGAACTCGTAACGAGCATCCGATAGCAACCGCAATTAACTTTAATAACGTTTCCGATTCGAAGACAGGCGAGGCTCGTTTTTCCAGGTCGGTTACCCTCGCACCGCGGTGCGGGGCAATTTTTGCGCGCCGAATGCCGTGGACTCAAGGCCCGCTTCTAAAAGTAATTACCAGGTGTGTTGAGCCGCGCCGTGTTGTGTTGCGTCGTGTTCTGTTGCAGTGGCAGCTCGAATCGCGTTCCGAAGCGATACCGAATCGCAATCATGCTCACTGAATCACCGAGGATACGAGCCGACCAGGTAGATCGCGCTATATACGGTAGTGGCCGCGCATATTATTCCGACAGTCGAGACGATTATTAAATTGCTCGGATTATTGCAGATCGAAGTTCGACCGATCTTAGGAAAATGAAACTTTGTCGACGGAGCAGCTCGGCGTGATACCGCGCGAACCGATTTCTTCGTTACAGTCAATTTTATTATCCCTCTTTAAAGTTGTCGCGAGACTCGTGTTGCGGTAGCTTGGCGATCGAACACGAATTATAAATTTAGCAAATGCGAGACGATTCGCGCCGCGAAACGTCTTTGTAGAGATCATCCCGCAAATCCGTATCGTTAAAGATGCAAAGACACGGTAGGCAATTGGATATCGCGCGACCAACGGATTATACGCGCTCGACGGTAGGTTTCATTGCCCGGTTCGAGTAAATCCAGACTACGAAATCCAGTAAATACGAAAGGAATCAACGTTTATCCGAAGGCGATTGCTCGATTCTTCATGCGATTACTGTAGCCTTTAAATTAAACGAAATCTAAGGTAATATCGTTTTTACAAGGGCGACCGTGCGCGAACGGTGCCTTTCCAGCGAGTAAATCGACCCGTTATCCTTTACGGATTAAGCCGTTTCAAAATTTTCCAAATCGCTCGAGATCGTAAACCGAGTTAAATTTGAACGTCTTACTTTGCGAACGGCTTCGGATCGATCTCGTAGTGCTCCGTGATCGGTCCGGTTTTCACCACCCTGGCGAGTTGAGCCTCTTGAACGAGAACCAACCCCTCCTTCACGTGTTTCTCGCTCCATTGCACTCTGCATCTTCCTCTGCATCGTTCCTCGTTACCGGTCCTGTCGATCGCGCGCTTCGCCTTCGCGTTCGCGCACTTTCCCGACGACGCCTGCAGATTTCGACGCTGAAGTCGCGGGGACGTCTTCCTCGCGGATGACATCGTCGGCGACTGATGATTCGGCTGATAAATCATAACTGTACGCGATCAGACTCGTCGACGAACAGGTCCAAGCATACCGACGGACGCGTCGAACGAACGATGCGACGAGCTGGCGATTTATCGATCGTGACGATCACGACTCGCGAGCAAGTACCAGGGCATCGAGCTCTGGAAGAAAGAACAGTTTCGTTAAAGGAATTCGGCGAACGAGAATCGTTTGCCGAACGAAGAATCGATGCTCCGACTCGGAGCACGCGTACCTGTGCTCGATTTCCCAAACGTTCTTTCGCGCTTCGACTCCGCTGGACAATTGGCGAACGAACTCGCGCTAGATGCACACCGAGACGATCAATGGTTCATTGAACGGGCAGACGCATCGTTGGTCGTGTACGAATATCGGTCCGGTCGAGCTCGCTCGAAAGCATCTCGATGAGAGCGACCGCGATCGCCGTTGGTACGCTCGGATCGCGAGCTTGACGGTCGAACGTTGCGGCTGAAACTGGCCACGAGTCGGCGAGAGACCACAAGCTTCGGCTTCGTTTCAGCCCGCTTCTCTCTGTTCTTTCTTACCGTGGTGCGGACTCGCGGGACCATACACTACCGTTCCTCTCGCTTCCTCTTTCTTTCGAACCGTCCTCCTTGGTCACTCGCTCGCTCGTCTCTCCGATCTCTCGTCTCTCCAGCCTCTCCAGCCACGGAACTCCCTCGCGGATATCTCCTCCTGTCCCACTCTTTCTTCTCCGAGTGGACACGAGAGCGCGGTTGTCGTCGTTGCTGCTGCTGCTGCTGCTTTTAGCGCTGTTTACGCGCTGATATTGCCGCCGTGTATATTCGTTTCTGACGTAGGTGGTACTCGAGCGAGCAAAGCGTACTCGCATTATGCTCGTGCACCAGCGGGCATCTCGTGGATTCGCATCGGAAGACGTTGCGTTATTCCGTTTCTTTCTTCTGGGCCAAAGTGATCGTACGGCGCTTTGTTTTTACCTTTAACGATAACGAAACGACCAACCCGAAGAACGAAGCGAACTTCCCGCTGTCGCGCGATAAACATCAGAGGTCGTTGAATTTTTCACGAACGTCAAAATGTCCGGTTTGTTTGCTCCGAGGGCTTGGATAACGAAACGAGAGGCATAACCACGATTGTAAACGCGTTAATATGTTAATGAACGCGTAGGGGTCTTACCTTCGAGATTTCCATGTCCGATTGTATCGCTTCTTGGAAACGTTAAAGTCGAGCCGTCGATCTCGATTTCAACGAAGCTCGTGCTCCGTCATATTTTCTAGAGCGCTAATCGCGCGCGGCATTGTTCCGCGTTCTCCGTTTCTTTTAATCGCCGCGATAGCCCGATTCGCGGCAGCTTATCGCTCTCGACGATAATTATTTTCAAGCCGTTTCTTCTCGGGGCTCCGGCATAACGAATCAAGACATAGCTCCGCGACGCTATTATGGATCGACCGCAAAAACGACAAGGATGCTCGATCCCACGCCGAAAGGATCCGCAAAGGTCTTTCCCGATCGAGTCTTCTCTAAGGAGAAATCGATTAACGAGCCACTCGAAACGGTTCAAGGATTCGATTTTCCGCTTTGTCCTTTGACTCGACGGTCCGATCGATCTTTGACCGCGCGCCATTTTTCGTCACGCTCTTTACCGCTAGAATTACGCGACGAATCATGATTACTCGGAATCTCGTATCCCCAAGAGTATTCGCCATTCGCGAGTTGTCGCGAGGAAAACTCGAGTGCTCACGTACGTGCGAGTATTCACGGCACCGCGAGAGTGGTGACAAGCAATTAGTACCGACAATTAGCAGCGACGTGTTCGTTCCCGATCGTGCCAAGGCTAATTGCTCGCTTATCCGTCGTTCGTCTACTTTCAATGACGAATTCGCAAGCACTTTTTTGCGGCTCCCCGTAACGTTCACCTTCGACGCGAGAAACAAAACGATTCCTCGCGCCTCCATCGTCTCGCCGCGAATTAATTTTTTGTCGAATCGGGACAATTCCGATCAATCAGATACGGAATGCGAAACAACGCGACATTCCGCCGCGAAAGATTGACGGTTCCGTTAAGAATTTCACGGAGGTTCCAAGTAACGAAGCGGCGCGATTTTTCATCGAACGCGAGGATCAGTAGCTTTCGATTCGTACTCGTTCTCACCGTTATTCTTTCGAGAATAGCGGTCGTTAATCGACGACGAACGTACGTATTCGCTGCCGGCAAACGATTCAAACGCGCACCATTTACGGTCCAAACTAGCAGCTGGAGCGCGAACCCGCGATCGCGTCTCTTCTCTTCTTCGCTTCGTGCCGAGCGAAATCAATTATCGTCGATTCGACGTCGTCTTGTCGGTAACGCGACGTCACCGTAGCGCGCTTAATGATTTCTGTTTATAGGTATACCGGCAGGTGCAATAAATTCAAGCCGCGCGACATTGTTGCTGCCCCGATGGCTCGTTATTCGCGACAACGTCCTCGATTCGATGCGTCGCGTCCACGGGTTCGCGTACATCGAGTCGCAACATCTTACTTTTGTCGTGGAAAAATGAAAACCGATACCGACCGGTTCACGGTCTTTCGCGAGCGCGATGCCGAACGAACGTTCATCTTCTCGCAACGAAAATCGTCGAGAAAGGAAAGAGCTTTTAATTCGAGAAGAACGCGTGGCGCCTACGGAGCGTAACGATCCCGATAACTTTGTTCGCGCCAAGAGCATCAGGGATTTTAGCGAGAGTTCGTTAACGAGTAATTCACCGAGCAACGTCTTAAGCTACCTGATCGCGTTGCTCGTTTTGCCGGTATTCACGGAATTGGTACGCTTCGCGTTTGCTTCTCGCCGCCGCGGAGAACCGCGCCGCGCCGTTCGTAACTTATTGCCCGTCATTCAACGCGCCCGATCCAAGATTCGATTACGATAATAGCTCATTCGTTATCCGAATTTGTTTGTTACGATAAATTGTCCGTGAAGGTAATGTGGACATCGAGTTGTCATAAAAAATGAAAAGATCGCTTTGGTAGCCAATTAGGTGAACGTTATTTATTACGACGCGGCAATGAAACTAAGCCTCTTACCGTGCCGGCGCTTTCTCATTTTTTCAACGGTCTCGTATGTTTTCGCTGTCGCGCGTTTGTCGCACGCGACAACACGAATTTATTAATTTGCAAATTTATTCGTAACGCGTCATGCTCGGCTCGTAATCGCTCGAGGCTTATCCTCGCCGCGGCTCGCCATAATATCGCGAGCGAGTCATAGTTTACGATCGAACAGCGCGAAAAAGTTTCCGATAGCGAGTCGATCTCGATTTCAGTGGAGGCGCGAGAACAATGAATCGAACAGAAACGAAACTCGTTAGATCCGCGGGCAAAGAAACGAAGCATTATTTACGGAACGAAGGAGATATGCACCGGTATCCACGGAGAATGCAAATTACCGACTACCATAAAGGACAGTATGATGCGTGCACTGGTTGTTCGTAATGCACGACGCGTACAGCATGCACGTGCAACTCCTCTACGATTTACGAGCCAAGAATTAGACACAATAGGAACGACCGGCTCGCGTCTAATAACCGACTCGCGGCCATACTTGGCGGTCCGATTAATGTTCGCTGCCACGGTACATTGCCAGAATTTGCAAGTTGTTCGTTCAAATGGATTCGCGACATTCATCTCGGCCCATCGTTAAACCGTTTTTCTCCCCGAAAGCCTCGAGACCGTCTCGTTAGACGTTATTGTGCCTCCGACGACCTCGAGGTATCCTCGTAAAAATCTCCTAGCTGTCGGCTTGCTCGCTTCATAAGCGATCCTGTATCGGGAAAACGTTCGTTCCGACAGTTTTTCGTTCGCTGCTCGACTCTCGAACACCGAGGAGGAACGATCGAGGAACTTGTACGGAGGTCGCGTCGAGATTCGTCTGACCTTCCTGCTGGATTTCATCGCTTCTTCGCGTCGTTTCGACTGATGGAAATGGCCCGAAGGCTCGTAGCTCGAACGGCGGTTCGTGGCGCCTAGAAATCGCTGAAACGTTCGCCTGTCAACGCCAAATAAAGTCGAACAATCGCGCTTTCGAACGATAATTCGTTAATTAGTGTAGCCCGCGGATCGCTCGACGAACGCAAAGGAAGAAAAAACGAGCGTGTCGTTCGTTCGCGAACGTCCAACTGTTGCCGACAAAAGCGGCGCGTTACCTCTAATTACAGGCCACCGCGATTCCATTTTTGTTCGCGCTACTTTTGCGAATTTATACGTGCCGATTGTCCGCCACCGTTACCCTTGACCGACCGAAATTCGTTGAGCAACCTCCTCCGCTCTCTACTCTTACTCTTGCACCGGCAAAAACTCCTCCGATACGTTCGCACTTACCGTAACCGTACGCTGACGATCGAACTTTCTAAAAAAATCAATCATCCAGTCGCCGTGTACCCGGATGTTTCGATCGAACTTTAGGCGACGCTCGTTTTTAAGATTCTTGAATATGCATCGCGTGGAACGCGTGGGCGTTGCCTCAAGGCGAAATTAACGCCATCGTGACGCGCTTTCGTTCGCGTTATATCCATCAAACGATCTCTCTCTTCCCCTCTCTTTCGAACCACGTAATCGCGTCAATTTGCCGACCTACGATTCAGAAATCGATGCAGGGTGCGTCGCTCCACTTTACGTAACCGATTATGCAACGACGCTTGAGAATCGAGCACGACAAATTGTATCTTTCGTGGCGGTCGATCCAATTAAAGGGAATTTCTTTTTCTCGGGAATTTGCACGAAAAAAAATTCTCGCGCAAACATTACGTACGATTCGCGACGTCGGATTAGAATGGAATTAGCAACGAGGCTTTTGTCCCGACAGGAAATCTCGTGCATGAATCATCGCGTCACCTGTTCGCTATTAATGTCGTCGGCCTATTTATAGGTTGAAAAGAAAACCGACGTTCTTGGAAAAATCGACTCCCCGTATGGAAAAACAGCTCGGACCCGTGAAGCGTCTATCCGCCAAAATGGTTTTCATTTTTCCGCAACAATTCGCGATCCACGTAGTTGAAAGTAGGATCAACAATAAGCGTAGGTTTCGAATGATTTGCGGCATTTTATTTCGCACGTTATTAAAATTAATACAATGACAGAGATATGTACATAAGATCTTAACGCCTATACGCGCGATTCTTCTCGTCGCAATTAACCTCGGTATTAATAAACGTTACAGCGATAACGTAGCAGTGGTGATGATAATAATAATAATAATAATAATAGTAATAATAATAATAATAATAATAATAACAATAATAATAATAATAAATCATAAGAATTATAAGAATGAGAGCAATGATAACGATGACAATAATGACGATGATGATGACGACGACGACGACGGGATGATAGTTGAATAAGTTGGGGAACAGGCTGTATCCGAGTTAGAAAAAAAAGGTAGAGCAATACATGGCTCCGTTGCGAGGCTCAAAGATCAAAATTAATAAAATACGAATGTAAATAATTATAAATATTGGCCAAAAAATAGGCGAAAATAAATAACGACGAATTTGTCTGGAGAAATGATAAAACGATTAACTCGGATGCACGCCCTTCTCTACCGCGTTAATCCAACTATGTAGTATACAGGTCTCGATGATGTTTTCTTTGATTATCAGAGGCAACCATGAAACCATGAAATCACGCAACCATGCAACCACGCATCCTCGCGTTTTCACCCGCTCTCATCGCGCGCATTCCCGTTCTCATCATGGTGCGTCTCGATGTCGCCGCGTACGTCTTGGAATTTCCGCGAACGTCTTCGATACAATTCGATCGTGGAATTAAACATTTGAAGATACCGACCCCTCCTCGATCTACGAGGTTAAGCTCCACGAAATAACGAGAGGTTGTTATTCGATCGATCGCATTTCTAAGCTTCTCTGTCTCTCTTTTTTGCCTGCTGCTCCTCCTCTTGTATTCCGCATCCACGACAGCGAAAGATAGAAAAAGGCTTGGTTAGCGTCGACGCGCGATTCGTCGTTTCGGTCGGTACACGCTCGTCTTTCCTCCTCGAATCTTCTCGTCTCTCCTGCTACCATCCTCGTGCTTTCGTCGAAAGGCACGGTTCGTCACGGGATTATACCGCGAAGTACGACGAGGGAAACGAACGGGTTCGAACAAGAGGACGAGCAACGCGTATGACTAGTATATACGGACCGCTTCCTTCGATCACGGAAGTTTCGGTTCCACCATATTTTTGAGCGCTCGCTCCTTTCGCGTTTAATTACACGTATACATACGATTAGTTTACGCGTACAACTGTACGTTTGATCGTTGCGGTTGCACGGAGTCGAAAACATCGCGAGTTCGTTCGATGATCGAGCAGCTCCTGATAGTTTCCGTTTCTCGCGTACTTGAGACGTATATCCGAACGCGCGCGCGCGTTCTAATTGATTCTCTAAAAGATCTCTACGATTACGGCACTTGTACAACAGCATCGACGAGGAAAAGAAAAGCTTCTAAAAAACCGAGGTTCTTCCAGTGGCGGCGTAACGCGCGGTATTCGGCGATCGAGAGAATTCGTAACGTCGAATCGATCGTCCTCGAAAGACGCTATCGAACCAACGAGAAGAATTGTAGAAGCCTAAAGCTAGTCTAGGCTCTCAATTTCGATCGATCGATCACGACGCAACTCGTGAAATAGTGGTCCATACGATTAAGGCACTGTGCAATACGGAGAGATTTCTTTGCTCGTTCGCCGACTCTTCTCTCTCTTCGACTCGTCGTTACCGTCACCGTCGTGCGCGAGACACTGCACGGTGACGCGAACGGTACAAAGAAAAGTAGGCACTACGAATGTGCGTTTGCGCTCGCGGTCGTACATACGCGTATACGCGTATAAGCACAAGTATCGATAAACGCGCCAGTTCCCGACGCGATATCGCACGTTATTTCATTGCGCGCGTACATGCGTATACTCTGGTACGTAACCCGACCGCGATAGGATTATGCACGCGATTCTCTTAACGCTTACGATTAAAGGCACCGAAGTTATCGAATTTCGATTTTAACGAGATCCGTCGAACGGACCTCCAGGTAATTCGGATTACTGCTATCGCGGCCCCGATCGATCGCTATGGCTAAGTTCGCGAAATTGCCCGTTCGAGGCATCCAGTTGCTCCTCCGATTTTATCGATCAAACTCCCCTCGAACAACGAGAGTACGTTAAGGGAACAAACGCTTCTTCTACGCTGACCTCGATAAAATTCGATCGTAAAAGAAAAGGAATATTGGCGCGCATTCGTTCGCTCGACATAAACGTATATCGCCTTCTCGAGGAGATCGCGAGTCTGACATATGCCTGACATTTTCCGCTTTCGTAATAATCGAGGGAATCGGAGGAGTGTTTCGTTTCGCGAGCAACTCGATGCGCGTCGATCGTGCAAAATTCGCGGCGATTGTTTACGTGTTAATTCGAAAGGACGGCCGATCAGGTCAGTCTATCGGTAATGGCAGACGACGAGCTGCCAGACGATGCGTCTCGTTTCTTTATCACTCGATCCTCTCGCTCGTTCATTCAAAATCTCTACTAGCATCGTTCTTATTTACACATCCAAGGAATTTCCCTGTCTTCCACTCCCGCGTTACGTACGATAAAATCGTCGAAACTCGACGCGCTCGTAGAATCTCGGTCGTCCGAATATTTATTTACAAGGCGCGTCACGAAATATCGGTACCCTCGTCCTCGCACGAGCCTTTTCCATATGTATTTACAGCCAACGCATCCGCACCGATTTCGCCTCATAACCGGATACCGATTCTTCGTAACGCGGATTATCAAACTATGTACTGTACACCGTAAAATTATATGTACAACGGATCGCGCGAATCTCGCGGACCCGAGACTTTGAAGCTGCTCGAGAAAGCCGTTCGCGGGTGAAACATCACCGTCCTCTTCCTCTGTCGCGTCTACGAGGCTCCGTGGAACTGAAACCGTCGAATCCGTGCCTGCACCGACTCGCACTGTACCTCGCTGTACCTGGTGTATCTGCCAGCTCTGACGGGCTCGCGGATCACTACGTAGTTTCCGCCTCTCTCGCGAAGAGCTTCCAATCCGGTCTTTCCGTGCATCGTCGGCGGGCTGGACTCTTTGCTGAACTTGGTGTTAGTCGTTTCCGACGAGAAACGACTGAGAACCTTGCTGACAACTCCGTTGCATTCCCTAGGCCACGCCCTCGCGCGATGATGCCTCTGTTCCCATCTGTCGGACGACGAGTCCGTGCTCGCGAACGGGAAACTGGCTCTGCTTTGACTCTTTCCGTACAGAATGAAGTCCAGCGAGTCGTCCGAGTAGATGCTGCTCCGATCGCTCGAGCTGTCCGTCGAGATCTCGGAGACGGTGTCGCTGCCGCTGTCGCTGCAGTGCTGCTCTTCGCCCAAAATGAACACGGGCGTGCACTTGAACACTTCTCCGGCAGGCATCGTGTGCGTTGCCGTGGCTCTCCTCTGAGTTCCGGTCGACGCGTTCGTCGATGCACCCGTACCGCTGGAAACCGGCTCGATTATCACGATTTCCGTACCGGAAAACTTTTGCGCCAGCGACTCCATGTTCCGTTTGAACGTGTCCCTGCGATCGGAACTCAGTCCGTATCTAACAGGCTTGGCCGATAACTTTGACTTCGAATACAGGTTTTCCGTGTGCGCCGACACGGCTCGC